TCTCTCTCTCATTCAAGGAAAAAGAAAACTGAGAGAGGCTAATCAGCGTCACATGGCTGCTTTGTGGCAGAGCTGACCCGGGATCTGACCACGCATCTTTGGTCATGGTCTTAGTCTGTTTTTGTGCTGCTAAAAGAAATACATGAGACTGGGTGACTTATTGGGGTTTATTAACTCACAATTCTGGTGACTGGCAAGTCCCAAGGCGATGGTCCAACATCAGGCCAGCCTACAGCATGGCTAATGGCAGCACAGAGGATGGTGGCATGTGCAAGGACAAGGACAGCTGCAGGCAGCTCTTCTACAGCACCAGCTCTCACGAGAACTAACCCCCTCTCGTGAGACCTAGAATCACTGGGACTCTCAAAGACATCATTAATCTCCTCACACAAGTGTTGTCTCCATGATCCAAGCACCATGATCCAATCACCATCCACCAGGCCTGATTGCCTTCAACGTCAAATTCCACATCGAACTTTGGGGGACAAGCCATCATGCAACACCATAAGCGTCACCAAATTCAAAGCTTTTTCCCAGTCGCCTCACCTGCCTAATGGAGACTGTTGTGACTAGAAACCAGGCGTTCTTTCCTTTTTTTAGAGAGAGAGGTTTTGCTGTAGCACGTGCACACTTGCCAGAGAGACACAGAGACACAGAGAAACAGAAAGCGAGAAATCACCCTCCAGAGGGGATGGCCATGCTACTATCCCTTCTTCTCCATTCTCCTCTCAGGATTTTGGACACGCATATACACACATGCTGGGCATGAGTTTAAAGCCTCAGGATCCGGGACTTGAACCTCAGTTGACTATGTGGGAGTCCAGCAATGCAACCATTACAGCAGTTGCTGGTCCTGAAGCTGAGCTTTCAATTTGGAGAGATAATCTCTTTTAGGGTCAGACTTCTCGTGAGATAGACAGTTAGAAATTTTCAAAGTGTACTTTAAGGAATTTGGCCAGAAATCAGGAAGATACCCTCTTTACCAGGCATGTTTCAGGCAACTGGTTATCTTTATAGGGCAGCGAGTGAAAGACTCCTAACTCCATAGACAGGTGTCAAGTCCAAGTACTATCAACAAGAGCAGCTATATTTTCTGAGCTCCCACTGCATGCTTTGCTGTGCTGTAGCATGTGGTCAAGAGCACTCAGACTGAATTCAGACTATTCAAATGTGTGGGTTTGAATCTTGGCTCCACCATTTCACTAGCTGTGTGACTCTGGGCAGATCACTTAACCACTTTGAATCTCAGTTGCCTCATCTGTAAATTTCTCATTATAATAGTACCTGCCTTTACATGGCTGTGTGTGGGTAAACGAGTTAATATAAGGAACGTTGTTTTCCTTTTTTCGAGGTTTGCTCTAGGGCATCTGCATTTACTGGAGAGAGACAAAGAGAGAAAGTGAGAAATCACCCTCCAGGGGGATGGACACATTGGAATCCCTCTCCTAAATCCTCCTCTCAGGATTCTGGGCACACACATATAATCACCTGCCATGATTTTCAAGCTGCTGGGTCCAGGACTCGAACTGTGATAGTAAATGCTATCAAATTTTCACTACTCACTGTATAAACTTTAATCACATTCAATAGTAAAATAACAGTAAAAGTTAGGCCCAGCTGTGGTACAGGCGATGGGGTGCTACTGAATGATGCTAGAGCCACAGGGGAGGTCCTGGTTTGCATCACAGGCTAACCTGAACCTAAACATACCAGGCGTGCCTAAGGTACGCACGGTCCTTGGAGGCTGGAGGTTAGCATGCCATGGCAAGATCTTGACAAGAGTACTTGTCCCTCTCTCTCATGAAAAGAAAAATAAATTTTCAAAAACAGTAAAAGTTCGTGAAAAAAGAGCAATCCAATATAAGACCACCGTTTTCCTTTCCTTTCTTTATTTTCTTTTTTTTTAAGTTTGCGATAGGACTGTGCAATTACCAGAGACAGAAAGAGGGAAGGTGAGAAAGCACCACTCGGGGGGTGCCCATGCCACAATCCCTCCATTCTCCTCTTGGGATTCAGAGCAGACATGCACACGTGCCCAGCATGGTTTTAGAGCCATCGGGTCTGGGATTCCAACTGCACAGTGAGCCATGTGGGATCCAGTCACCTCAACCGCCCCGCCACCAGCTGGACCCATGTATATATGTATTTATTGTCAGAAGGCACATGTGCACATCAGAGAGATAATCCCCCAATGCAGCCTTCTCAGACCACAGTCCTTCTTCCCTCCATTTCTTCACTCTGTCAGGGTCCTAGGCACAACACATACCTGACATGTTTTTCAAGCTGCCAAGGCTGGGATTTGAACCACATCAGCCATGTGGAATCTGACTCCCCTTGCACAGTGCTTAACCATTGTACTCTGGGGCTGACCCTGTATTTGTAAATTTTTTAAAAAGTTCACTAGAAAGTGTGTGTACGCTCTTGAGACAGAAAGAGAGAGGGCGAGTGAGAAGCACTCCTGCATGGGGGGTAGTCACGCTGCAACCTTTTCTACTCCATTTCTCTTTTCAGGATTTTGGCACAAATGCACATGTGACTGGGTGTAGGACTTGAATTGGACTTGCCCATGTGGAACCCAGATGCCTTCACCATTACTCTGCTGATTGGCCCAGGCCCTGCATTTCGCTCCTCCCTTGATCTACTTTAAGAAATGTGCAAACTGGTTAATATTATTGGTTACTTTCTAGGGTCTACAATATCCAGCTGGGACTGTGATTAAAAAAGGAGTTAAGATCGCCCAGGGATGGACACGAGGACTGCAGAGACTGAACGTTTGCTCTTTTCTGTTGGTAAGTGAGACCATTTTCTTTTGTACAAAGAACAGCCACATCGTGTTGGGTGGAAGCAGGAAGTTGCTGCTGTTTGGATGCTTACCTGTGCATTGCAGGTGTGCACAGAAGATCAGTCGCCAAAGGAGTGGGCCATGCCAGCTGTATACCTGATGAGCTCAGCTGTATATCTAGTCTGTTGCTGGGTGCAGGTGGCCATAAGCTACATCCTCAAGGCTTCCTTACTGGCTGGCTTTCTGTCAGGTTTTGCCAACTGGAGA